CCACCTGATCTTTCCATCGCAGTGGGGGCCTCCCTCTTCCTCTGCTACCACCAACGGGTTCCGAGTTGAATACTTTCAGAGCCGGAGCGTCGGTGTCCATTCGAACGACATGACCAAGCCAGCGAAGCCGCTGTATTTTAATTCGCTGTACCATGTCCATGTCGTTGTAAAGCTCATACAGCTCATCGTTCCATCGTCTGCGGTAGTCGCCGTCGCCAACGCGTAAAAGCCCGTAAATCTTCCGCAAAATCTTTCTCTCGAACACTCCCCGCCTCATCGGATGTTGTCATTTTCCATGTTTCTGCGCCATATACCAGCACGGGCATGATAAGTCACTTATAGAGTGTGGTTTTCGAATGTCGAGAAGGGACTCTACTCCTGAATTGCCTACTCAGTCGAAAGTAGCACTAGTTGGCAAGAGTGATTCTGCGTTGGATTTCAATGCTGACATTATTATCGGTGTTAATGCTGGTTCCCAAGTAAACGAAATTCTCTACTTTCTCGAAATTGCAACTGTCAACAGTGACGTGGGTGCCAAGGCGCGAATGTGCTGATTGTTTGTTTCATGACAGCAGATACTTCGTCTTGTTCTTGCTTACCACCAGACCCATTCGCTTTGCTTCCTTATCCAACTTGGAAAAGGCAGAACAGACTTCGCGGTTTTTGTTACCGATGATGTCGATGTCATCGGCATGAGCCAGTAATTGCACGCTCTTGTAGTAAAGCGGTTCAGTTCTGCAGCTCTTATTATCTTCTCCAACATCAGATTAAAGAAGTCACATGAAAGGGAGTCGCCCTGAGAGGTCTTTCCCAATTCTGACGGAGCCGGTGGTATTGCTCAACGTCATTTTACACCGCCGTATGAGTTTCGAGGGGATGCCGAATTCAGACAAAGCGGCGTATAGGCAACTCCTTTTAGTGCTGTCAAAAGCGTACCTCGTTATAGTCAGGCGGGGGAACGTCGACTCCGTCATCATCGACTGCGGGCACGGGTTCTTCTTCTCCACAACTTTCCGTGCTGCTACCATTTAGTAGGGCGGAAAAGTGGTCCCTCCATAACTTAAGTACGCTCTGGACATTGGCTACTAGGTCGCCATTGTTGTTCTTACAGGAGTACGCCCT